CCAAGGGGTAGAGCAGACGGATTTTGCGGAGCAAGAGAGGGACTGGGATAAGACAAGGAAAGAGGACTACATAATAATAAAGCAGACTTCGATCAACATTCCCTGCACAATGATGAAGGGAGGGGGTGGAAACGACAATTGGAGTGTGAAGTTATCATGTCGCTCAAAGAAGCACACCACACTATATCTAAATAAACAAGGTAAAAATTGTAATAGTGAAGGCATGATAGGATGCTACCGAAAACGCGAATAACCCATTGCAGAAGGGGGGATACCACAATTGTTTAGCCCAAGTTTGGTCAAAGGATCGGCTTCAATTGTCTCTTTGACGAGTTGTTGTATGGTGCTAAGAATGGCGATAAAGGATTGATAGTTGAATTTTACCACAATGATGAATAGGCCTTGTGTTTACATTAAATTCTGCATAGATTCGCTTAGCAAAAGCTATTCTCGTCCAGACTATGCGAAATTCGGTGAAAACGTAATTCCATTTTATGTCGTGGGAAAATTCAACTACCAGTCCTTCATCATTTTAAGCGAAATAGGGCGAACATAGTTCTTATTCAAGATCTACTGATAGTTTCAAAAGGCTACTTCAAAAAACGAAAATATTTCACATTCGTGCAGTTGCATTCGTCTGTTAAAAGCCCGCAGACCAACTGATGTGCCTGTCTGCAATCCGTCCCTTCAGGAACAGATATTTGTGAGCTCGACGTCGTTACCCCCTAACATAGTCCTACCTTCCCTCCCGTTCATTATTCGACAAAGCGCCAGGAAGAATAGGGTACAGACGAGACGAAGACTTACTCCGGGCATTGAGCGATGCCAGGGTGAGTGTGTCGGGTATGCTTCATCCTCCGTCATGTAGACGCCCTCCGCATTCGGTGCCACAGTCTTCCGAACCGGAGTTTTGGCAACTGCTTGTTCAAGTGGCCGCAGATCGAGATTCTGGTCAACTCGGTAGCCTGAAGGAAGAGCGCCAGCAGGGCAGCCGAGCACATTTGTAAGGTTAGCATAACTCAGCATTCCGGTGAACGAGGCTTTTGGGGCCAAAGGAAGAGGGCCGGCGAACCCGGCAACAGGGCAGATTACCGCATCCAAACCGGCGGTTGTCCAACTGGAAAGAATTAATTGACGAAGCTCTTTCAGAGCTGCAAGGTGCTCAAGCATCTTTGATATGGTCTGTAGGCCGGTGCTTGCCTTCAACCAGAATTGGGAATCTCGATCACCTCTCTGGGTTACAGAGTGTATATGATAGAAGTATGTTCACATGTAGGATTACGTGATGGGTTTCGTATGCGAAGAAAAGTGGTAAGAGGCAGGTTAAAGGGCTTGTAATTTGCACACGTATGAATTCTAAAAATACATATATGTATGTAATTGTGCATGCATGTATGCGGAGTGTATGTGTGATAAAAAACGTTTGGAAACAAGTATGGCTGTGGCTATCCCAACAGCAGACCAAAAACGTTAGTAGAAATAATAGAAAAGGCGATAGGCTTAATGAACGCTGTAAGTTCTCTCAGGAGATTCATCAAAACCGAGTTTCTCTTCGTATTTGTGGGGTTAAATTCACTACAATTTAACCCCACAAATACGAAGAGAAACTCGGTTTCGATGAATCTCCTGAGAGAACATTGTTAGAGGGACTTTCATTTGCTATGAAAGTGCATGAAGAAGAGATTCGTAGGTCGATCTCACCAGAAGAGGACAGATAAATCCCGTTGTATTGCAGACATTTGGTTTTTATACGACGTTCAGGTTGACGCAGTCCACGAGACCTATTTCGTTTCGGGTGAAAACGAGAATCGTCAGAACTGAGACTAATTCCTGTAAAAGTCTCATGTTAACACAAGGGCAAGAAGATTATCCGGCTCTATCTTACCTCTGATATGGGGGGGCAGGAATTGCCTCTTGCAGGAAATGTTCCTCCAGTCTTGCAATATAATTGTTTGCCAAGATGGAATCCAAACAAGATCCCATCGCTAATCCTTGTGTTTGTTCGTATAAGTTACCATCGAAGGTAAAATATGTGGTACTCATGGATAGGTTAATAAGTCTTATAATGGAAGCTACACATCCTTATTCCTTGTGTTATCTCTGGATGTTCCTTCGGAGTTTGTATCAGAGCTTGAATAGCTCATCGAACAGGAATGTTTGCATACATTGACAAAACATTAAAACTGAATAGCCTATCTGCTCCTGAAAGTGTCTACTGTTCAATCACAAAATCATTCGAATTTTTAACTGAATATAGCCCCAAAATAGCAGAGTCCTTTAGTTTTATGCATAAAAACCGTGAGATTTTATGCGTCACGCTTCCTTTACTATTAACAATTAATCTTAGAGGGACCCCCTTCTTGTAAAACTTAGGCATACCGTAAGACGTGGGGCCCATTGCATCTCTCTGGAGTAGTGGATTCATTTTCCACTTCTTCATTTCACCATTACTCACGCATACCTTAAGGGCATCATTTAGCCTAGACTTGGGTCTTCTGTTTGATCCCTCAGTAAAGGCCTATACGTGTCATTGCCATTTAAATGAAATAGCATTTTTTCTAGATAACCTGACTTACCAATGACTACCATTGCTCCACCTTTGTCGGCTTTCATTTGGATCAGATTATTACCACAGATATATCTATTAACCCTTCTAAGATGACAATATTTCTTTGGCGGTATTATATGGTCAAAATGAGGGATCACCTCCAGTTAAATACTATTCATTACCTCTTCAGGTAATTAATTCAACAAGTAGTTCCAGAAAATGGTTTACCTCATTTGGAAGAGCAAAATTCAATCCTCTTTCCAATACACTATTCTCCAGAGTTCTACAAGATAAATTCATAACCTTATCCTTCTCCATTTTGCTACAATCATGGTTAGTACGACTTATCTTAGGCACAAAGTTTCTTGACCTAATTAGGATTCCTTGATTCCGGAGCTTCTTATCAGGTATCCGACAAATAGTTCTGTCAGTCGTCTTTCGTAACCCGTCAGCCATGACTTGTAACTTAATGAAATCCACAGAAATGATTGCCTAAGCCTAATTTTGGTTCTAATTAGTTCGCGTAGTTTGTTGATGCTTACCTCGAGCCTAGTTTTAACCAAACCACACGGTATCTGATCCAGTAAACAACACATAGGAACAACATTATGAGAAATACAAATTTTTAAAAATAGGATTCTATTAATCGAAGATATGAAGACCAAGATGGTGTGACCTTTTGTGTGGTCGCAGTCTCGTTTCGTTGTATAGTAGTTGTTTGACCTTGTTTTCACAACTTGGTTATATTGGCAGGACGACTTAGAGGAACGCACCTAGTCCGGTGTCCATTGTATGCGTGAAAATGTTCAAATTCGTATAAGAGTAGAGTATTGAGACTACTGGCTATGTGAAATTCAATGGAAAACGTCATCTGAACTCATATCATTGTGGGAAAATTCTACTACCAGTCCTTCATCACCTTAGACTAAATAGGGTGAATACATCTCATTAAAATGTCTGAAGTCGGGCCGTGGACGTGGTACATTCGCAGACGTTTCATCGGCATCGTCAGTGAGTTTTGCCATTCTTAGCACCATACTATAACATGTCAAAGAGACAAGTGGAGCCGATCCTTTGACCAAATGTGTGCTAAACAGTTGTGGTATCTCTCCTGTCCTGGGCTATTCCCCTCTCTTATATATCCTTGTATCAAATCTTCACTATCACCATTTTTATTTGCTTATTTAATTGTGGTATGATGTGCCCTTTTGAGCCGCTTTCATGATAAATCGCCACAATTCACGCTGGCTTTCTCACCCCCATTTACCATTGTGCTGGGAATGTAGATCAGAGTCAGGGGATGAATAATAACACCTCGAGTAGCACAGATGGGGTGGCAGGGGTCAAGTCAAATAATTGAACCAGAGAGATAGCAGACGAATCCTACTGGGGAAGAGCGAGACTGTGATAAGACCTAGGGAAGGAGGACTGCGTAACAATATGGCAGACTTTGATCCACATTCCCAGCACAATGGTGAAGGGGGGTGAGAAAGCCAGCATGGAGTGTGGAGAGTTCTCGCGAACGCGGTTCAAAAGGGCACATCATACCACATTTAAATGAGCAAGGAAATAAATTGTGATGCAAGGATATAGGAGAGGTGAATAGCCCAGGACAGAAGGAGATATACCACGACTGTTATCACTTGATCGGCTTCACTTGTCTCTGACGCATTGCTGTGTGGTGCTAAGAATGGCAATACTCACTGACAATCCTGACGAAACGTCTGCGAATGTATCACTTCCAGAGTCCGACTTTGGAAATGATCATGCATACAATGGACTCCTGACTAGGTGCGTTCCTCTAAACCTTCCTACCAATATGACCAAGTTAAGAAAACAAGGTCAAACAACTTTTAATTATATTAACTTGCTGGGATATAGTTTTCTTAGTTATAGTGTAACGAGAAAAGAAATGACAAGATGTCCAACCGTACCTACATTGTAGATACAAAGAGAAACTCGGTTTCGATTAGTCGCCTGAGATAACATTGTTGGAGGGACTTTATTTAGTATGAGAGTGCATGAAGAAAAGATTCGTAGGTCGATCGCATCACAAACAGACGGATAAATCTCGTTTTACTGAGGCCTTTTAACTTTTATACTACGTTTAGTTTGAGGCAATCC